TTTATTTTAGTTAAGCTACTTTAATCCACTTAACTATAGAAGTTAAAAATAAATAGGATTACGATGGATGGATGATGGATACGGTCAGTTAACTTATAAGGAAGGTTTCAAATAAATTGACAGATACTTTGAAGTTTTAAATATTTATTGCACATAAATAAGAATATAGTCAAAGCTCTTGTAATTAAAAAAAATAACTTCAGAGCGACATCTGTTAAAACAATCATTAACTATTGGACACTATATAACTTTATTTTTTATGAAAAGAGACTAAAAACATTCGAAAATTAAAAAAGTTTTGATGTGATTTCATAATACTTTCATTACTAGTATATGAAATAAATATTAAAAAGTAACTATTAATTATTATGTTTAAACTCTTTTAAACTGGCCCCTTATATCTTTCAACATATGGAATAGTTATGTAATTAAAAAAAATTAACTCATATTTATAACGGCATCAGTAGCAATATAATTCTGGAGATAATTCTACTATGCAGCCATTAACGCTAAAAAAAAAATAACCCAGGTATCTATTTCTATGTCATCCTAATTTAATGTTGAGTGGTTAAAAAAAAGATTTTGTTTTATTAAAGATTACTAAAATAATATTAATTCAATAAATTAACAACCACACTCCTCTCGGACGTGCATTCCTGAATTTACATTTCAATATTTCCTAAACAACATAAATTAATAACAATTTTCTATTGTTTAAGCTATTTTTAAGGGAAGGCGTGTTCCTGCCTAGATATCTTGGCCAGCCATACCGCCCCCGCTACCGCCAACGCCTGAAAAACAAATATTGATATTATTACATACAATTTATAGTAAAAGACGTCAAAAAGACACATGATTTTGCTAAAATAGAGAAGTGACCGCCGCCCATCTGAAAGTAGCAGAAGTGTTGCTTTTAGCGTTGCGTGTAATTGAAAAGAGGGGGTGACGTACAAAAAGAGAACATCCCAAACAACCTTACTACATCCCCTCCCCGAACAAATGTAGCCTTTCCTACGCATCCTTCTCGTTTTGAAAGAAAAAAAGTGGTGTAAAGGGGAAGATAGCTAGAGTTTAGCCTCCTGCATACACACTTGTCAAACGATACGCGGAATTGCTTTCTATACGTACAGACTTTTGACACTTTCAGTCTTTTCATTTGTTGTTACAATTCTTTTAAATCAATAAACAATCTATTCTTTACACACACCTGTAACAAAACCATGAAGATTCCAGTGATGCCGATCGCAGCGGCGTGGGATTGAACCCAGGAGCCAAATGCGTCGGTACAGCCTACGTTATATGCGACGGTGACGTTGCACACGAATGTTTGGATCGTGCCGTACACGTGGTCGCAGCAGCTGACTGGCACGCCGAGTGTCTCTGTCGTGCCCAGGGGGAGTAGCCAGTCACTGGCATTCGCAACACCGCAACATGAGAACTGAAAAAAGAGAAAAAAAAATGCTCAATTAGTATGTGTTTTTCTATGCTATGTTACTACACTATATCTATGCCAAATTTCAGCGAGATTCATGCAGCCGTTCTGGAGATATATACCTTTAAACAAACATCCATCTATTCATCCAAACATTCGCATTTATAATATTAGTAAGAAGTCAGATAAAAAGAAGCATGAAAGTAACATGTTAAGGATAGGATATGTTCAAAGAGCTGATGAATTTTGTACGTATTTTTTGAGAAAACAAAACAATCAGTGGCACAGTTTAATTAACCAGCCATGTTTTAGTAAAAACAAATTGTTTAAATTTTTTGTACACAATACATACATCTTCTTGCATTTCATCCCACAGTTTTGTGACGCCGAGGTTTTTATTGGCACCGTACAAGTCCATTGTGCCCATCAGTGATTGCTGCACTAGCGCCACCGTGTTGCCCTTCAGTGCATACCCAGCGATGCAAGCTGACAGTTGGAATATGAACATCAGGATCATTGAACCTGCAAACTGAAATAAAGAAGATCTTAAATTAATGAATTTTGCCAGAAATCTCTATAGAATAATCGTGAAATGGAAAAGTTTGTACGTAAAAAAATGAAAAATGTATAGATATGGGAGTTGTTTTATTATTTTAATTTCCAGAATACAATTTGATAGACAATAATAGGAATTTCGAAAGCAAATAATCAAAATACCTTTATAAATATTGGCCTGTATGATATAAGATCTTATTTGAAAAGTTGCAAGAAATTAAAAAAAAAATCTAATCTAACTATAATATGTTTAAGTCCATCGCATTCTGTTTTATTCAAGGGCTTCGCATATATTGGTATGGCTTTATATTGTGTGATAGAGAACTTTGAACAGTAGTGAAAATTTGATACAAAACAGAAAATACGCCGAATCAAAGTCTTAAATGATAAACGACGAACAAACAGCTTGCATAAATTATGAGCAACCGATAGCGACTAATCTCTTTCACATATTTATTTGTTCAAAATTTGCATTTCATACGTAAGTTGGTTCTGATAGTACTTATTTACTTTTAAGAGCTTCTATTATAACAAGCCACTTAGATTAATCTTAACAAGAAATAATTAACCCTAGCCATAGACACGAAGCTTATAAAATCATGTCGGTGAAAATTGAACCTAACTACACATGACATACGAGCATACCTAAGGCATAATAGGCACACGAAATCCTAAATCCGACCCATCCAATGGAAAAAGTTACATCAAGTTACAAAGGTTTGATTTATCGTTCCTTGTGCGTACTGCAAAGGATTGGAACAAGTTGCCGTCGCGACGTCAATTTATCCTTCCAAGTAGGGGCCTTCATGAATATCGATTAGTGTTTCACCAACAGGTGAAACATCTCCACTGGCCACTACGTATCATTTAAAACATAACAAACCTGCACAATTACGAAAAATACAACTGTTCTTCCAAATCATTTTATTCTATCTACATCTTGTCTCTATTTCTAATTTTCATACGTGGTGTTATTTTTACCTAAAAAATGTCTTCAAGTCTAATCAAGTTTAATGATTTATGTTATTAAATTTTTTTTTAAACAATAAAATATGTACTTAACTTCATTACTACAAGTAATTAAGATATTTTTCATCTAAGAACATATGATACGATTCATCTTTTTCATCTAATTTTTGGAGGTTAAATAACTATTTTTACTTTACATCACATGTTCACAGTTTAGTAAACAATCTCTTTATTTCTATGTAACAAAATTAAATGTAACCATAATCCATGTTCAAATTAACCGCTTCAAGCGAGTCTGTATTGTCATTGAAAACGCGCGCTGTCATAATGTATGATAAAAATAGATTATACAGGTGGCTACGAAACATCACAGGTAAATAAATATTACGTCCTTGTATTTCTTGGGTAATAAGGTACTTACCGCCATATTCATGTAATAATTCTCCATATAAGCTCCATAGAATCCAAAGAAGGAGATTATGAATATGATAACTCCCGTCGCAATGCAAAAAGCAGGCAATGAGAAAAATCTCTCCGAAAGGAATTCATGGTAACCATTGTAGGCGGATTGCACAGAACTACCCACAGATAATATAACAATACCCGTTATCTGAAACATAAATCACTTTCAATATCACTTGCATTTTTTTTATTAATTTTATAAATTCGAAAATCGAACGCACTGGCACAAAACAACTTACCAAAAAAAGAAAGTTTACTGTCACCAGCGTGTATTTGACAGTTGTGAATATTTTCGACCACATTTTGATTTATTTTCCCGACACAACGCAACGATCGCGCTATACGTCCTCGTGACAAGTTAATGTCGTATTGTGTAGTTCGAATATTTTTATCAGTACAGTAATCTTGATAAGGAAAACAAGCGGATTTATCTTGCCCGCCGCTGCCGTTGCCTCGATTGAGTTTCCACAATTACCACCATACCTCACGTCATATGATGCCTCTAGTACTTGGAAACCAAAGAAAACTATATTACCTCATTTATTAATTATTACTGCAATTAACAAATGCAAGTGTAATTAATTTTGATTTATGTTGTCATTATGTTTCTTAGTTTCTATTCCATTAAATCGAAACTTAATTATAGCACATTATGTTGCATTTTTTAGGCAAAATTGTTAAATTACATTTAGTAACTTATATAAAAATAAGAACAGTTAGCTACGATCTACGAGGTAGCTACAATAGCGCTAAATTACAACTTTTCCATATTTTGCGTTCCACATAATTCCGACAATCTTACTATTAAATGCGAAAAATTAGATGGCATGGCAATGCATGTTTGTTAGAAGGTATCCCCAGAACAGCTCAACGAATCTTGATTAAATTTGACACACATGTAGAACATAGTCTAGAAGAACACATGGGCTAATAAGTTTTTTTTTATTTCACGGGGACGGAGTCTAGGGCAAAAGCTAGCCTACTTATAAATTAAAATGCACGAAACTTACTAATTAGAATTGTTGTAAACTTATTGTAAATTTTTTCACTGTAAAAACACCACTGAATTATGATTTTTTAATTCCAAAAGGATGGAGGTACACACCACATCCAGTAGTGTAATGATAAGAAATATACATTCGGTGAACAATAAGGTCTAATTTACATAGCTATCTGCCAAGTTTTTATTACACTAATTGGTTACCACATAAAGGCAGGATTGCTCACTCGTTTAGCGAATGCCTTTGTTAAATGACTGTTCGATGTAAATACAGCCCTGCATACAAAATATTGAAACGCATCAATGAATGTTACTCAAACGTAATAATTGCTATGAAGACACTTAATTAAATCTTTTTTGGAACCTTAAAAATTAGTCATGATTTTTGTCAATTTATCTTATAATAGATTTTCATAACTTATTTATTTAATTTTTTGTTTGTCTATAAACTTAGGTATTAGATTTTTTTTTAATTCTTCTTTTCTATCTCCATTTAGTGTTAAAAATAAAATTAAAATAAAAACAATATTTTCTTTAAAATATTTATTTTAACGAAAACAAAGGAACTATAAATTGTAGTAACAAGATTTTCTGCTTTCACAACATTCAATCCTATTGACTCTATTTCTAATTAAATTCGAAAATAATAATAAAACTTGTAAAACTGAATATAGATCGGTCCAAAGTACATATATACATACATATTCGATGTTAACATTAAATACAATGAAAGACTATATAATATCTACAAATATAACAACTCAGTACGACCACTGACCATCGTAATCCTAATTTAGCTAAAATGCTTAAAACACTGGCTTAATCTAAGACTCCAATTCGACTTCCTCGTACTTGGACCTCCACGCCAACCAGCCGGATGCGACAGTGATCAGCAGCTTGAAAAAAATATATCATGTACTAACTCACCCCTCATTTAGCCCACATTCGAACCCCTTAGTGTGGACGTACATATCCAACATTACTTCAAAAAAAATATTATATTGCGTGCACGATAGCATCAAAGTAAAAAGTGTCACCCCTATACATGTCTTTACCCTTAATCTAGGTGAATTATCACAAGTTTTCACAGCCATAATATTAAAAAAAAATATTTCATTAAAAAAATTATAGTTTATGACAACTCGTGGTGATGCCAGACGAATGAAATACGGCTGGAGAAAAGCGCGCGCACGAGTAAGTAAAATTGCTTTCTTTACGTCTCGTCAAATCCAAGCTAAAGATGATTGTATGACACCAACCTGAACACCGGTGACTACTGCCGCAACAACACCGATGACATATGCGTAGTAACTCAACCATTCGCCGAGCGCGCTCGCGCAGCCAACGAGGTAAGAGTTGGCTGTAGTGCAGACGAACGGCGAGACCGTGCCGTAGTCGATGTGGCAGCAGCTAACCGGGATGCGATCCCGCGCCCAGTCGTTGCGACCGGCCACACCGCAACATTCGAACTAACGGCACAAACAGATTTAAAACTATGGTAGAATACTAAATACCCCTGAACTCTAGAGTCCGCGCGAGTTGTAACAGTGGTAGAGCACGCTTTAACATGTTCGCACGAATTGGCCCGACTCGCCCGGTGAAATACCACGACCACACAGAAGACAGGCGTCAAGTGGAAGCAATTCCGCCTACAGTCTGATGAGTGTGCGTCCCGGAGGCCTAATTTAGTCCTCTTTCCCTTCACACCCTTTTCCTTATAAGGAAAGGATGGGAAGTGGAAGTGGACTTTGCGGATGAGAGGATGCATAGGAAGGGAAAATATTTTCTTTCTGCGCATCCTCTCCTACGTTGATTAAAAGTAGGCAACGCATATGCAATTGCGTATGTCTATGGACAACGGTCACTTCGCTATTTCAGCGATTTCAGGTGGCCGCTCGCTCGTTTGCCACCTTATGAAATAAAAAAAAAATTAAAAGTCTCTTCGCGCTGAAAACCAAAAAATAATAAACGCAGCAAAAAATGTGTATAACACAAGAAAGCTGTTCCAAAAACCTTACTTCCCTCGTTTTAAATTTTAATTTAATAGCGAATAATTAATTACTCATAATACTTTAATCTCAAGTAGAAAACTTACTTCCATTTGCAAATCGTCCCATAGTTTAGCGATGTCTCGCCGTGTTTCGTAAAACTGCACGCTCTGTATCATCGGAGCTCGGATTTCCGAAACGGCATCATTTTTTAATCCGAATGCTACAACCGTCATCGCGATTTCAAACACCAAAGTCGTCAGCAAAAGTACTACATACTGAAAACATTATTAAAATTTTAACAACAAGAAATGATGCTAAGAAACTATACGACCAATAAACTACGACTATAAAATACAACTTTCGACATTTTAGCTTTCATTGCATGTAGTTAACTAAAAAAATATTGGAAACAAATTAATCAACATTATCACCAGAAATACTAACTCCAGCGATACTCTTAATTCAGTGTGTAAAAGAAACACCTACCGCAGCAATAAAATAAAAGTTTTCAGAAACAGCGCCATAAAATCCTAGAAGTGAGGTCAGGATTATGATCACGCCGGTAGCAATGACAAATCCTGGCAGTGTGATAAACCGTTTAGTCAGTAACGTGTTGTAGTATGAGTACTCAACAACCGCTACTATTCCAACGATTAAAAGAAGAACTCCCGTTAGCTGAAATAAATATTTTAAGACATCCTATATCGGTTATTCTTTTTCAATTGATTTTAAGTAAGTACTGACTAAGATTTTAGCCACTCAGCTCGTACCGCTTTTATTCTAAAAAATCTAGCAAGATAGATTTTTGAGTTTCCTAAAAACTCTCTTACCCAGTAAATAGTATTTACACCAGCTAATGTATACCTCACGGACTTTAATACTTTAGGCACTTTCATTTTTTTTGTCAAATAATTCCGTTAAGCTAAATGATTTTTAACGTACTAAACGAGTTAAAAATAGAAGTTCGCTATTGAAATGGTTTTTATCAATCTAGTATCATCAATATCTTGGTTATCTCGACATATTCTTCTCGTGGTATCAATTTAGATATTCATAAATATTGAACGCATTTAGGTTTCTTTAGATTTAGATTTTTTTCCTTTTTGTTGGTAGTATCTATCATTCATCTCTAAAATCAGATTATAAGATAACGGTTGAACTAATAAATATACAATGGCCTGAAAATTAAATATACCTATTCCTTAAAGTTTAAAATTAAATTTAACTTTACAGGGTCGATTATGAATTGATTTATTTTTTTCCGGCATGGTATCACTTTTTGGTAGCATCGATAGCACGGTAGCCTGCAGATGAGTAGTAAAACATGTAAGAGCAACTAGCAACACAGTCATTCGGTGTTTTGGTTCGATAACTCGACGTTCGTTCGTTATCACTTTGTTTTCATTGAACACAACGAATAAATAGGTAAGATATTATTTTATTTATAATTTATGCAATAGAGCTTTAGGATATTAATTTTATTTCTGTAAAATACTTCTCGTGTAATAAGATATCTTGTAGTTGCGTTCAAGCCCATTCTATTGTGTCAACAACGCAAATCAATGTTTTACCTTCGGCGCAGTATGTTGGGAGAGGAGCTATTATTTTTATTTTGTTTCAGATTGAAGTTCAAAATTTAAAAGAAATAAAAAAACTACTAAGATGGCTATTGGGGCAGGAATGTCGTGTGTGAAGTACTTACTTTTTTGCTTCAATCTTTTGTTTGCGGTAAGCATTTTTTTTTGTAATGGTGTTTTTCCTTGAAAGCACAAGCGTTCCAAATGTGTCATACGTTTCGAAAGTTCTCAAAAGTTTAACTATGGCTTAAATAAATATATTAACGTCATTTTTGAAATCATATTTTTTTGCTACATGTATAAGTATTTATGACTCAGTGTGGTGACGATTGCACAACGTCAACAATTTTGATTTAATTACATATTTAAAAAGTGCTTTCGTTGCAAATAGCATTTTTATATGTCGTTAAGGATTGTAAACATGCTCATGAAAAATTTATGAAATTAAAAAGGGGACCAAAAATCAATACATTTATAATCCAACACTTATTTGGATGCAATTTTTTTTCATTTTTGTTAAACTTAATTGTAAGGTTACCTTGAATAATTTTTAATAGCCTACAAACATATGAGAACTCTAATATGTTTGTAGCCATTATCATTTGTATAAAACATTTCTGCTATCTTAAAAACAATACCACATGTTATTGAATACCTAAACTTGGAGCTAAATATAAGTTAATCTTTTTTTTCTATGGTACATGGTGACAAACAAATGAGCATCTACCTCAAATTCCTAAATCAGCTAGTGACCACTAACCATAGACATGTTACAATAAGTTAGAAAGCAGGTGCATTAAAATCTTCTATTTAAATAAAAAAAATAGTTTATATATTTCTTAAGAATTTCGATTACTACTTTAAATAGATACCTCTACATTTTATTTATTTAATTTACAAAAGAGTTGATAATCATTGAATATAATGTCTTTAAATTTTTAGCTGACTGGATTGATCATCTTGATCGTTGGTATTTGGGTTGAAGCGAACTCCCATCCATACATTGATCTCACGGATGAAAGCTTCTACACAACTGGACCTGTAGTCCTTATCATCGTGGGAGTGATAGTGTTTATAGTTGCATTCTTTGGCTGCTGCGGTGCTGTGAAGGAGAATCATTGCATGATAGTAACGGTAAGTTTTTTTAATTATTTGTTAATTTGTGTTATTCTTAGAATGTCCCTTAAAAAAATTAGGAGCTGATGTTTTCTTCCAAACTATGTTATACATCTATGCCAAATTTCATCAAGATCTGTTAAGCTATTCTTGAGATACCTTCTAACAAATATCCATCCATCCAAACATTCACATTTATAATATTAGTAGGATTGTGCCATGAACTTGTAGAATTATACATTTGTGACAGGTGCTTATATGCAATAAATTGTTAAGTGCCATAGACATAATGAGTTTAAAACTTTTTAAACTGTATAATATTTTTGCAACAAAGTAAATGTATAATTTCAACATAATAGGCAATTCTTGTACTCGTGTTATCATATTTGTGAAGTGCATTGTAACAGCATAAAGGTTTATTATTCTTTATGTAGGGATCAAAAAGTCAGCATGATAAGTTAGAAAAACACTGATCATATATTTAATTACTTTTATATATATACTAGCTCTTACCCGCGACATCGTCTGCATGGGATAAAAAAATAGATAGTAGCCGATAGTTAGATCCATTGAATATGCATGTCATCACCAGCTGACTATACGTCCCCACCGAGGGGCTCGGAGCCTACCCTAAGTTAAGGGTGATTAGGCCATAGTCAACCACGCTGGCCAAGTGCGGGTTGGTTAACTTCACACATATCTTTGAATTTCTTCTCAGATATGTGCAGGTTGCATCACGATGTTTTCCTTCACCGTAAGAACGTCGGATTAATGTACATATGTAAATCGGTAATCAAAAAATACATTGGTACATGGCGGGATTCGAACCCAGGACCTGCAGATTGCAAATCGAGTGCTTGACCCCTGAGCCACTGACGCTCTTTAATATGAATATGCATGCAAAACTTTATAGAAATCGGTCAAGCTGTTTCAGAGGAATATGGTAACTAACATTGTGGCAGATTTTTATATGTCAGATATTAGTTATTTCTTACTGTAGATGTGGACAAAAACTTATAACAACAGTTGTATAAAAATCCTAGTTGTAGTTAAAGGCAATAATCACAGATACACAGCTAAACGGTATTTTCTGTGTAACATACCATAGATATCGAAAATTTGTACCTTCAAAATAGTATGCAAATAAGTATGCAAGAGCCCTATAAATCTGCCTTTGGGATTTGTGGCCAGAGGTCAAAGGATTTACATTTAAATTCTTTCTAATAAAACGTGTATCATCTAGTTCTAGACGTTGATTCGTTTCTTAAGTTTAACAAAATGTCGGTCACACACAGGCAATTGTCCAGAGAAGCCGTGACCTCTGGCACGAGCCGTCTCTGCCTGTTAATCAGCCACTTCCTCCATTTATAAAGTTAATGAGCCCTTTTGTGCATTCTATCAAATCTTTGATGTAAGAGTGACGAATAGGAAGTCATTAGCTTTTTCCTGTCTTCTCACGATAACGGCCAGACTTAATTATTTTTAAAAACCACTTAAACTATACTTTAATAAAAAAAACAGCAATGAAACAAATACGAATCGCATAATAGTCTCAAAACTGGTTCAGTCCTTTAGTAACATTAAAAAAAACATTTCCAGCCTTAGTCAATCAGGTAAAAAATACATCATTAGTTTAAATACTTTTATGGTCAAAATAAGTATAGTTTCTCATATTGTTAATAGTGACAACCCTAGGTCTTAAATAATTGAGACCGTCAGAGCGCCGTCGAGATGTCCACTTAGTCAATTTGGGATACGATAATGTCTTCTGGCTATATAGCATCAGGTACAAAGCCAAACAGAATAAAACCGAACACTACGTTTAGTAAATTTTCAAACCTAAAAACTATACGAATACTGGTTAAAAGGATGCTCCAACAAGTGATGTTTATTTATATGTGTTTTTTGGTTTAAATAAATTATTATTATACTGGTTAAGTTTAAACTGTGGTTTGACTTCTAGATCGAATTTTAAAAAAGTAAGCATCCAAGTCGATGCTTACTTTTTTAAAATTCGACTTTACATCTTCGAGTTTTATTTTGTCTGTGGCAAATAGTAGTCACCTAACATACGCCATTTTCCTCTGTTGCAAGTAGGTTACTAACTGATATGATAATCCAGGTGATTTCACCTTACCTTAGTCATGTTTTAAACGTATACAATGCTTTACAAATAAAAATGTACATGCATGTGATTTTATGACGTAATAGCTCTTAAAAACTAATAATAAAATCGAACTTGAATACGCAAGGGCATTTTTCTTTTCATGGAGGTTGTCTGTTGATGACTCGCATATAAAGATTTGTGGCTTATCCAGGACTCGACTTCAACCGCAGCGAAATAAAAAAAGACTTAAAAATCCAATATATTCACCTAGACTAATTGCTATATCTATGCCAAATTTCAACGAGATCCGCAGATCGCAGCCCTTCTGAAGATAGCTTTAAAGAAATCCATCTAAAAAATTGCATTTATAATATTAGTAATATGTGTATGTAGACATAGTTACTTGTCATATCTACGAATAACTTGAATGTATTATAAACTCAATTTATCAATAATAAGTATGTTGTAAGGTTTATAATTATCTACATTAACAAAGTATGCCATTAGGCTAGGCACATTTATACTAACATTTTTGTTACGTGCTAGATTTTTATGGTAATAATCTGTTGTGCATAATTTCCCACGATATTATATGACCTTGCTAAAATATTGATTTAATATATAATATTTATGTTTTATTCATATTATATTTCATTTCAATGACACTTTTTATTTAATTTACAGATTATTTTATACATAAAATTCTCGTGTCATATTGTTAGTTAATACTCTTCCGAAACGGTCGGTCAAGGTTTTTATCATATTTTATTTTTTTATATTCAGTAGGTCTGATCATTGGCAAGTAACAATTATTTTATGTCGTCCGTCAGGAGTCTCGAACGACAGTTATTAAGGTGTTTAATATTAAATATAATTTTTCCCATTTTAAATACAATTCTATAAGATATATCTAAGATAATCGGGGGATATATAAACAGGGGGGAAAATAGATAAATCAGGCGGTCAATTGATTTGTTCTTTTTTTATATCATAAGGTGGCAAACGAGCGAGCGGCCACCTGAAATCGCTGAAATAGCGAAGTGACCGTTGACATACGCAATTCCATATGCGTTGCCTACCTTTAATCGACGGAGGAGAGGATGCACAGAAAGAAAATATCTTCTCTTCCCATGCATCCTCTCATCCGGAAAGTCCACTTCCACTTCCCATCCTTATAAAAAAAAAAGGGTGGGAAGGCAGAGGACTAAATTAGGCCTCCGGGACGCACTTTCATCGGACGAAACGCGGAATTGCTTCCACTTGACGCCTGTCTTCTGTGTGGTCGTGGTATTTCACCTGGTGTGCCGGGACAATTCGTGCGAACATGTTAAAGCGGGCTCTACCACTGTTCTATTATATTATAATTTGTATGTAACAATAGTAAAAACAAGAAAGGAATGTGCATGATGCCACCACATCCGATTAAAACAATAACAAGCGCGGTATTATGAGAACATTCAACTTTATTTTTTTATGAACGTGCAATAAATGATACCAGTCCGAATCATATTTTAATTGGGAATTTTAATGAGAATTATATTACGCTTACTTTTAATTCTCTTTAAAAATATTATTTTAAATGAGAATTCATTAAAGAATAACACGTTACAGGTAGCGATTTATAGTTTATTCGTGAAGTTAATTTTTTAAATAAATAAATTCATATATTTAATCATACTTTGCTTAAATTAGATTTTATCTCAATCAAGAGTAATAAAACTATAAAAGATGTCTTACCACATAGCAACAACCCACGTATTCTAGAATACATTAACATGCCATAGTTTGCTTTAAACAAGTTGAACCAGCCTATTTTTACGTAATATTAATTACCCACTTATGCTCCAATAATATATCTTCACATATCCACTTTTATGCTCGTTTCTTTAGATTAAAGTAGAAGAATTATTGTCTCCGTTTTTCATAAAAAGCTAAAAAAAATATTTTTTCGACATTTGAAACTACTTACTACTACTAGTATGTGTTCGTAGCAGTACTTCTACAGTGTACAGATAGAAAGTGATATGTACATATGACAATTTCTATCCAACTTTTCCACTGTGACGTAATATGTCCGGTCGAACGGAAAGTAAAACAATAATATAGTTCGCAGCGACGCATTGTTATTGTGGAGCGGCATTATCGGGCATGTTGTGATTCAGAGCGCAGAAATATCATCGGAGACACGTGACCACTTCGTAATGCTTTGCCGTGCCTCGATCACGATCACTTTTCCTGACCGTTGAAATAATATCAATAGCTCGCGATATTAATTCATTTGAAATGAAATTATATTCACTAAATCCATTATGCTTTTCATGGATGTTTCCTAAATACATAGGTACATTATTGGAATATTGCATCCACAAACAACGTATATTCGTCCGAAACCTGTCAGCTTTTCATCTGTCATGCGGAGTAGTTTAATGGCCAATGAGTAAGACCATTACTGTAGATTAATATTTAATTAAAAAACAAATGGAGCAAGCTTAGAATGTCGTTCACAACAGAACGTTACAATATCCCAGACGTAGCTAAAAGCATATGTTGTGAGGTTATATTGTGTCCGACACGCCCCCGTCTCCCCAACTCCCCCACCCTGTCGGCATCCGGCCGACTTGCTGGCGCCGTCTAACCTAAGAGCTTATCGATCGATAACACCACCTACAGGATGTTTTAATTACGTCAGATCCAACGATAGAGAAAAATAGTAACTAATAGCAAATATTTTCTCATGAATACTTAACTTTTATATTGTCTTGGGGGTTTTTAATCAGTAGTAATACTGTTTATACTTAGCGATAGTATCCTATGCGTAAAAACCTGTGCACTTTATTGTGTGTAAACTTGATTCTTTTAACACTTTTGTATACTTCTGACTTGTTATTTTTGTGTTGCATACGTAATTCTCAATTAAACTTCAATTTAACTGCGTAAAATATTAAGAGAACATAAGTTGAAGACAAGTCTCTTGTAGTACTAATATATTAACTGAAATGATATACATAAGAAAAAACTGGTTTATCTTAATAATTTTATACGAATACACTGGTCCGAATGTTTGCAAGGCCGAACACGCAACATACGTTCACTTTTTGAGACCTGTGTCCGAGATTGCCTTTAAGTACATGACCTAAAAATATTTTTTGTTTATTCTTTTTAAAAAAGGATCATGTTTTTTATTGAAAAGGTTTTCTTATCTATTATTTGCTTTAAATGCAAATAACTGAATATTTGTATTTACTTCTATATTGTAACTCATTGGATACTTGAGTAATGTTAAAATTGCATTTAACCGACCACGCTACTATGACGTCATCAGACACAGCGTTTACGCTTAGATCACCGGGGAGTCCCCGATAATATGTGAAGAAAATGTCAGGTTATTTTTTTAATTAATAAAATCACATGCAAAAGCTTTAAATATATTGTTACGTGATGCAGAAAATTGTTTCCTCAACTTTTTAAAACTTTGTCGCCCCAAGTAATTTTGAGGCTTCTCGTTTGCTGTTAGTAAGCTTCAAACATTTTCTACGACCAAACTAAGGTCATATATCATATAAAATATCCAATATACATAGATTGTAACTTTTACTACAAACTTTTAAATTTAAATATATAGTTATGCATACATTACATCATATTAAATAATAATAATTGACCTATATTAAAAAAAAATATTATCACTCGCACCTATTTTTGGACTCGCCAGTTGTATGAAATTAAGAACCTGTTCTACTAACGACGATGACTTCACCCAAAAGATATATTTATGCTAAAAGAGACTTCACAAAAATCCGATTCTTACTTATATTATAAATACGAATGATCGGATGGATGGATGTTATAAGGTCATGGATCTCGCTGAAATTTTGCACAGATATAGAACATAGTATGGAAGAACACATTGGCTACTAATTAAGTTTTTCTTTAATTCCGCGCAAACTGATATGTGGCTAGTTTGAAATAATTTCGCCTATGTCAATGGGGAAAAATGTTATTCAGCTACCTAGGTTATCCTTTACAAGTGGTGGATACTAAATAATTAAAAGACAACTGGCTGTAGCGGAATAAAGATAGCTGGATTAAAAATAAACAGAGTTACGACCCTATACGCTATCCCAGACTGCAGTCTATCATTGTTTTGCAGTTACGATGTAACAAATATCCAAAGTTTCAAAGATTAGTAAGATAACATCGAATGTTACATTGTATTTTACTTTTATTTTGTGTGCAAAGTTTAAAAAAAAAACATGAAGTAATATTATACCTTTTTTCTCCACAGTTCGCTGTATTCCTGCTGGTAATCTTCATAGCGGAGATGGCTGTGGGCATAGCTGGCTATGTGAAGCACGATGACATACAGAACTCTATCGTACGTCACCTCAACACCACTATCAAGGACTACCCCACCAACAAGGAGGTCCAGAGCACCTTCGATATCCTGCAGACTGACGTAAGTACATTATTCTTAAAATGCCCACTTGGCTTGTGTCGAATGTTTGATTATAAAAAAAACGACTGATTATACCAAGCCAATAAATAATACTTTCTAATATTTAAAAACGAAATTTAATTTATTTATTATTTTTATTTTTTAAATACAGAACTTTATAATACGAAATTGTTATTAAAAATCTTGGATCGTTTATTTGAGATTGATAGCTGTTATTCAACGTTTTCGTTGGCGGTGACGGCGGCATTTATTGTGTTTGGGATAAGCCCTCGCTCGATATAAACATAAGTTATTTTTAAATGAGAATGGAGCGAGCGCTGTTTAAAACATCTCTAAATCTATTAATTAAATCGTTTTAAATAAATCACAATCGTTGAAATGCAATCAGTGCCAGATACTATACAGTGAAAGTATTCAATTCTCTGGCTACTTAAAATCGAATATTACAGCAAACTATAATCATATACAAGAACTAACAATTTATCACAAATGTACGCTATGACTTTGAGTCGTGTTCAACCAATTATGAATTGGGTAGGAGATAAACGCCCTTGGCGTCTTATTTTCAAAAGTGAATTAATGGCTAGTCTTAGGTTTGAGAAAAAACAAAACCGAAATAATGTCTGGTCTTAGGTTTGTGAAAAAACAAACAAAAATGGATTGCCCTTGTCCCTACGAACAATTCGTATATCGTTTCCGTACATCTCTATCAGCCGTCATATCTGAATTCACTCCCTTCTTACACATATCCTCTTTCACACAATCCATATTTTCATATTCAATTAGTTCTTCTTTCATCCTCGATTACATTGTATTACAGTTGCAATGCTGCGGTATCTACGGACCGGGAGACTGGGCCAACAACACTCTGCCGATCCCCGACACTTGCTGCGCGGGCCGCGAGATCAAGGAGGGCGCTGCCGCCGCCTGCACACCTGAATCCCCCGGCTTCCACACCATCGGCTGTCTCAGCAAACTCGTGCCCTTCTTCAACGACATGGCCATGCTGCTCGGAGGTGTCGGACTCGGCATTGCTATGGTGCAAGTAAGTGAACCAATTTAAATCCTTTACCATAATATACACATTCAATCTCGTAAATTCCATCACCCTGTCTGCTAACATTAGACTATATAGAAAAATGTTATTCTATCCACAACAAACAGTGGTAGCACGAATTGTCCCGGCTCGCCTGGTGAAATACCACGACCACACAGAAGTCAGAAGTATGGGCAATGGTCACTTTGCTATTTCAGAGATTTCAGGTGGCCGCTCACTCGTTTGCCAACTTATGATATAAAAGAACTATCAACACAAAGCATTGGTAATATTGTGCAAAGCTTTTAGAATGATTAAAAAAGAAACTAGGTCAGTACTATTCCTATCCCTTTGGACATAACGACATCGTTATAAAGAACAGTAGCTAATGCCACACAATGACATTTTGCTGTTTGTTTTCTTGTCACCAAAACTAGGTCAATGCACTCCGCTCATGATAACGTGACAACCCTAAGATATAGCAAAAATTTCATCGACAACCTTAAAGTACACTCGTCTTTTATTGATGCAAGGAAATGGGTCATCGCCTCGAGTACTATTTGTTAGTGAACAACTTGACATAAATTGATGAATCCCGAAATAATTGCTTGTTTGTACTGAAAAGTTTTTATATCAATTTGAAGGATTTCTTACTCGTGAAAAAAAAATGTATATTTAATTTCATTTCACACTTTCAATTTAGGAAAATAATTAGTGCTCAAGTATAATAAAAATGTTGATAAAATCTAATAAAAACTACTCAAGTCGTTTAATAAATGTAAAATAATTTATAAACTTTGAATAAGAAATTGGTTTAAATCTTTCTTCTTACTATAATAATATTATAAATCCGAATGTTTAGATGGATGGATGTTTGAAGGTATATCCTGAACGGCTCAACGAATCTTGATGAAATTTTGCACAGATGTAAAGCATAGTCTGCAAGACCACATAGGCTATTCATTTTTTTTTTTATAACTCCGCGCGACAGCTACTTTGAAATATTTTCAAGCAAAATCTGTTTTACTCCGTTGTAAGTTCACTGGACACCTGTATATCATTTTTTACCTCAATCTTGCCTTGTTGCAGCTCCTGGGCGTGATATTCGCGTGCTGCCTGGCGCGCTCCATCCGCAGCGAATACGAAACTGTGTAAGCAACTACTTCCTGAATTTCCACTGATGTAACACATGTATACCAACATTATTGCTATCTCTGTTTTATTTGAAGAGAATGAGCAGGATACAATATTGTAATACAATGTGATTGTGGAGATTCACAGTTCGAATGTCAACTTTAATCTCATGCTATTAGTGTTTCCAATATCTTTCATATTTAATTATATTGTGATTTAATTATAAGTTTCTCCGCAAATATATATTATAAGTTATGTTGTTTGTTTTAACATTTTATATTTTAATACAAAAATAACAAGAGTCCTTGAGAGATTTCGATTCCATTTCAACACAAATAGTATGTACAAAGCAGATCTTTATCCTAAATAGATTTAATTACGTTTATATTAAAAGAAATAAAACATTTTTCCATCTCATTCATCAAAGTGAATTTGTATCTTCGTAGATAATTGTGCAAGTCAAAATCGCTAAACAACATTATAAAATAGATTTTCACATATATTGAAGTGCATTCAGTGTAGAAGACTGATTTTCGGTATAGAAATGGTTTAAAATTGCCAAATTTTAAAATATATAATTTCTTTTTTTAATTTTTTTTTACATTTTATAATGTAGGTGTCAAATGTATTGTTCATATAGTCGTGGTAGTGTGGTGCACATTTTATAAAATCTTATATTTCATGTGTTCGATATAAATTGTTTTTTTTTTCTATAAAAAACAATATTTGTATCTCACGTAATTAGAATATGTGTAGCATTTTTAAAGTGTTTCAATGTCTATTTACAAATAAATTGTATGATCTAATTCATCGAGTTTTTTTCTTTCATCATCATCAGCTCACTATACATCCCCACTGAGGGGCTCGGAACCTATCCTAAATTAGGGATGATTAGGCCATAGTCAACCACGCTGGCCCAATGCAGGTTGGTTGACTTCACACATATATTTGAATTTCTTCTCAGATATGTGCAGGTTGCATCACGATGTTTTCCTTCACCGTAAGAACGTCGGATAAATGTACATATGTAAATCGGAAATCGAAAAACACATTGTTACATGGCGGGATTCGAACCCAGGACCTGCAGATTGCAAGTCAAGTGCTTGACCCCTGACCCACCGACGCTCAAAATATTTCTTTCAAGTAAATTATAAGCTTGTACGTTTGATAAAATTGTCGAGATAAGAACCAACGACCACGTGATCGGATGATTCGCTTTAACCATTAGGCTATTGGCATTTTTCATTCAAAGGGTTGACAATAAAACAGCACTTAGTGTCCTAGTTACACACAATTTTATTTTCCTATTTTTATATGATATATAAATTTTAACAAAAGATGGTTATTACATGGGCTCAAGACTCAATTATAAGGAACATCAGTCATGTTGAAAAAGAGCGGTCATTTTTGCAAGCATTTCGAAATAGTATAAAATTAATTAAAAAAAATCACATTGACAAAATTATGGCGCCATTCATTGTCTATGCCGTAGCCATTTCACAGCACCAGTTTTATTTTTCACAAAAAAAATCACTAATTTCGTATCGCAACCTCACAGTTTTGTCATCAATACCGCATTATACGAGCGTACACTTTGATAAATTACACAGCTAAATATCTAAAGTTAAGGGTGTGTTTTCACTGAAACAAAGCGAAAAATTTTTTTTCCAATTTTTCAAAAAAAATTTTTTTTTTTACTTTATAGACTAGATTCTTTACTGAAGGCTTTTATGTAATTTTATATTTAAATCGATTTGTGATTAATTAGAAGAAAGGGTTTATTCTGAATTATCGTAATTTCGCGTTCAGTTTCAGTGAAAACACATTTTAAGACATACATTATACGTTACCTACACAATAGAATAACTTACATCTAGTAACTTGTTAACTTACTAAACGGAATTTCTTAGTCGAAAGAAAAGTAGAGGTTGTAGAGACTGCCTATTATTTGGCACGAAAAAATTGCGTAAACACATTTGTCACTTTTACGTCCACATTATTTGATATGTTTTGAGTAGAACAAAATTAAAATACTCTCAACTTTCTTTTTAATCCAATAGCGATTGTCAAAGTTTCCGAAAATCTTTACATCATCTTAAAAAGTTCAAGATGTTTTAAACCACTGTCAATATAGGATAATCTCCCCAATTGTTCTGTAGTAGAATTTAAAGGCTTTGTAAATTAATACAACAATATTGAAATTGTCATTTTATTTAAAAAAATGAGTTCATGAAATCATCAAAATGTCTTCAAATTTTCCTTAATAACAAACTGTTACTCAAATAAAAAAAATACATTGCTATTGTTTTTGATTGTCTGTTGATATTAAATTAAAAATCTTGAACTAGACAATGATCTGTATAAAAAAAAACGAATATGAAAAGAATTAACATAAGAGCTTTCGTAATTTAATTTCGACTAATTAGGAAACCAAAATCGATGTGCGAGGTTTTATAACAACCATTTAAACATTAAAGATAGAATAATGAAAAAAGTAACTACAAAAAAATTACTATATACATCAAAATCATTGACAATCAAAATATTTCCGGGACATAACAAACAAGAAATTTGATGGCATTACAAGATTTGTTGTCCACACAAGGACAGTAAAAAAAAACAAGGGATTAAAAACCTCATAGTGAAAAATACTTCAAATCAAAATACCATTCCATAGACAGAACTCTATTCAATGTAGACCAGAATAATTTGACATTATAATACTAATGTAGTAACAGTTCAAGGAGTGTTTGAGATCAACGCATCGTTGCGGCAAATAATTTGACTCAATTCACTGGTTACATTCTACGATACACATTCATTAGATAAACTTATCACTGTAATATAATACAGGACTAAATTAACATAAAGTCATTAAACTAAGAAAAGAAATCACCTAAAATTATACAGTTCAGACCATTTGAAGCAATGGTTTAATCACATTAATTGCAACTAAACACTTTTAAGCCAATATACACAACACACTTTTCACGGCATATCCGATTACATTTACAACACTGGAGGGTCACAAGAGACCACACAGTTAGATGCATGTTTTCTGCAACCCATTCAAGTCTAATCTCGACCCATCTCTTGAAAATAGTTACATTTCTTATGATCTCTTAAGAAATGTAACTTTTTTCATTGGGTTTGGACCAAGATCAACTCTTTCATATCTGACATATTTATCCTTCACTATAGACATGTAATAATACATGAAGTCCCCATTGTGGTGAAGGAAGGACCCTGTTAGTCGACCAATGAACACATCCAATGAAAAAAAGCGACTGTTTTCAAAGGATGGGTTGTCTTTGCATTTAAAAACTCAAACGGTCGACTATGAAAGGCGAATATGTCGCAAACTGTGCACACAGATAGATAAGTAAGCTTATATTTACGTGAAGAGGATGGACTGAGAACAGAATGATTTTGAGTAAGATACATGTAGGACAATGAAGGCAGGGCAATCATGTCGCGTAACGCTTGGTCCACAGGCGGGCGATACGATCATGTTCATCTCTATTCTGCAGATATTGTGTAGCAATACTGCCTACCAGGGGATCCGCTGAAATATTACACTTTATTTAATATTTTATACAATAATAATTATTGAAAAAAGAACCATGCAAAATTAGATTGATGGAATTAATTTCAGACTACTGTAAAATATAGTTTGAAACATAAAAAGCTTAGCTCTAGTAATAGGTTGTTACTGTAGGTATGAACTATGATACTTTCTTTGTTGTAATGAGAAATCATAATATTAAAACAATGAAAAGTGTGAAGTAAAAATAAAACCTACATAGTTTCATTATATTACTTTAGAAGCTATTGTAATTAAAAAGGCTTAAACATTCTCATGCTTTAGTAGAAAGTAGGCAAGTTTCACTTTATTTTGAAAGTATTATAGAAATCTATAATTCATTACCATAAATTACATAATAAGAATCATAATAATTAATGTATAAATCTATATTAGAGACAAAAGTAAAATCAATGTAAAATAAAGTCAATGCCATCTTGGGCAACAAAGATATTTGAAAATAACTATACCTGGATTGCAGTCAGTCAGGAGTGAGCATATTGATAGCAAGACTTTAGATATGGTGAGAGCTGGTGACCAGTTATCCTTGAGGATGTCCAGGCATATCACACCCTGGCTGTTAATGTTGCAGTGGTATATCCTGGTACGGAATGTTACCTGCAAACAACAAAACAACATATAAACATAAAAAGTATTTTTTTTTGCCTTTAACTTACAGTAGGCTTTTGCCCCTAAATGTGGAAACCTCTATTCAATGTTATAAATACCACAATATTAAGTATGCAAATAATCTTGTTATAATTTTCACTTCTTTATTTATTATTTTCTAGAACACACTATATCATCAGTTTAAACAGCTAAGCTTTCTAAAATAAATCCTTAGCCTTTAATAGACATTTTCAACCAGTGAAATATGTAAATTTCTAATTTCCACTGAATACATGGTATCTTGCACACTAAGAACGTGAAGTGTTCTTGACAATTGTATATCTCACATTATAGCAGTAATAATATAATTTCCCACAATCATTGTAGCTTAATTAAGCTTCGGAATAGTATCATATAAATATTTCTGTAATAAAAATTGTGAAATATGTAAAATATTACCTTAGGTGGTTTGAATGGGTATTCTGGAGAAAAATGTATATCAAGGAAGAAGACACCACCCTCATACACTGAGCCTGGTGGCCCCAGGATGGTGGACACCCATTCATATAGATTGTCTCCTTTAGGCCCTGCACTGCAGTTAGGTGGGGGATCAAGTGTGATCTCTGCCAATTCCTTCTGAATCCTCTTAGCCGATGTGCCTAGAGCTTTTGACATCTTGGGATTTGGTCGGTTCTCTTTAGAGTCAGGTTTGTTTTCGGATACTCCAGAGTTTGCACCACCCCGTCCTCGTCCTGTCCCGCTTCCTGATGAACCAGATGCACCAGACATTATCTAAAAGAACCAAATATTTTTGCAAACAAAAACATTAAGCAACTTGTTAAGTAATATAAAAGCTTTTTATTTTTAATTTACGATCAGAGACTAGTTGTTAATATTTTGTAAGAAATTAATTTGATATTCTTGGCTTACAAAAAAGCAATACAAGAAATTATACAAAAACGATACAAAGGAAAATGGCGCTACACACATTTCAACATTTCAAATATTATATTATAATAAATTCTAAAGCTTTGAGTAATGAATTTAGTGAAAAATAATACAGAAACATGCAATCAATTTGCAAACTAGACAAGCTTTTTCGAAACAAAGACATTCCCAGAACATGCATTACAGGAGGTTTATAGCATAAATGAAATAAATACCATAATTCATTAGTTGTATAGACATTGAATAATACCAAGATAAATTACGTGGAGTGATAAATGTAATGGAAAAAGTTTATTTTGTACCTTACGAATAACAGTCGGCCATCTTGTGGTCTGGCGTTATCCGATAATTTACTATTTGCCTCACCGGGGACCTGAACCAATAGATAAACCTCTCTATACACACAATAAATATGATAAAAATGCAATCCAAGTTATACCATATCGCCTAAGAATTCCATAAATTACATTTCACCAAGTTAACTCCGCACTGCAAAGCGAAAACAGGCAGCTTGACTTTTTCATGAGTGAACATAAAATATATAGCAAACTTAATGTATGAAGTCATAAAGGTGGCACCTAAAAGAATCTCGAGTTCTTTTTTATGGAATTTTGCAAATTTAATAAAAGTCCCAATCCACTTCTACCAAATATCATATTTTTGAACATCACCTCTCGAATACACAGCCACTGAAACTTACACAGTTAAGAAAGGACAAGAGGTAGACTTTGTTTTGTTGTAATAATCAATACTTACAGTTAATTATAAAACAAAATAAGGATAGTTTTATGACAAATAAGATGAATGGAAATAATGGTAAAACAAATTCACGCTGTACATCTACTTTCCGAATCCGACATGTTTATAAAAAACCGGCGTGTTGCCATTGAAATCCTAAAAGTTGTTTTTGTTGTTTTTATTACTTTGTAAAAATTAGTTTTATTCTTTAATTATTAATAGTAATATTTTACAGTACTATGTTTTACACTTCAAAAAAATAAACACCGCCACCGCACCATTTTTTACCTTTTTCCTTCCAGCATTCATCATCACGTAACGCAAATATACTCGGTCCCCGGACTATTTTATATTTTATCCCCTAGTTAATACTACACTTTATTCTAAGAATGATTAAAAATTGTTAAAACTGTTACTATATTTTCTGATATTTTCGTAAAAGTAGCAGAAACTAATCTCTATAACCTGTGAGCAAAATCTTTGACGTATGTGACGTTTGATTAATGTCATGACCTAAAGGTCTATGTTACCAGGTCATAAAATTAAAAAAAAAAAAATTGATTAATGTCACGTTTGATTAATGTCAATGTCAAAATAATAAAATCAAATTGATATTGGAAATTTCAGAAATTTTGGAAAAATTACCTTATTCCAATTCACTCCTAATTTTTCACCAAATATATTGTATATTGTCATAGTAGTACTTGCAAAACCACTTTTTGTCTCATATCTGTTTATATTACTCACTCATTACTTATTAAAAATGGGGAAAAGGCAACATCAAAAAGATAAAATGTTTGTAATTAATTATTTGTGCGTCGTCTTTATTAAATCAATTGATTAACCAAAGCTATTTCTTCAGGTACTTAACGTACACCGAATGGACTACATTATATGGAGGCAAAAGATCTGGTACAGCAAAGGAAGAAGATACAACATTCAAACGCCTTCCTTTTGACCATTGTTGTTTGTGCCTGCAACCGTTTGAAAATCCTTTTTGTGATAGCGATGGTAACGTTTTCGAATCTGAGGCTATAATAGCTTTCATTAAAAAATTTAAGGTTAACCCAGTAACTGGAAAGGTATAAGGAATAATAAAATATTAAAATTACTTGCAACCACTGGCAATGAAGATTAATTTGGTTAATGTTTTTTAATTTCAGAAACTTGATGTAAGATCATTAATAAAATTGAAGTTTTTTAAAAATGCACAAGATGAATATCATTGCCCTGTTCTATTCAAACTTTTCACTAAGAACTCACATATTGTTGCAATTCGCACAACTGGAAATGTTTATTCCCATGAGGCTGTGGAACAACTCAACATCAAGGGGAAGAACTGGAAGGATCTCATTGATGATACACCATTCACCAGGAATGATATCATAACTATACAGGATCCCAACAATTTAACTAAATTCAATATTTCTAATTTTCATCATATCAAGAATAATTTAAGGGTTGAAACAGAGGGTAAGAGTAATCATTACTTGTTCACTAATATAATTATGTTGTTAATTACAAAAATAATTGTAGTGGTATAGATCTTGTTAAAATATTTTGTTATACTTACACTACATGTTAAAATATTTCAGAGGAAATTGCAATGAGAAAAGATCCACATGCAAGATTAAAAACTGTATCTGCTGAAACCAAGGACATTTTACAACAACTTGAAAAAGATTACAAAGCACCTGAAGTAAAGGAAACTAAAAAAGAGGCTAGTAATTTAGTACAGTAATACTAAGATAGAATCAAATTGCCAGTGACATACTAGTTAAGGGCATGGTCTACTTCTAATCATATAGTTATGCATTCTAATGCCTCTATTTAATAATTTCCTACAATCAAACCTGGATAAGCTGTAGTCTTCGAGACCAGAATGTTTTCATTGCCTATAGAGATTTTTCTCTTAGCCAAGTTTCTCACTTATCAAGGGTGTACATTGGGACAATGACTGGCACTAAAGGTGACTCGGTCTTCTAGTTTCTGCTGTACTTTATTTATAAATGAACATACAGCTACTTAAGCTTTTGTATATTTTACCAACAAATCATAAAATGTTTGATGAAAAACTGAACAGAGACTCATATTGTGAATTGTTTAGGTGGCAGACAAATTCAATGCTGCACATTTTTCTACTGGCATGGTGGCAGCCAGTTTTACATCTACTGCAATGGTGCCGGAGACAGTACATGAGGCTGCTATTATTTGTGAGGATGAAGTCAAATATCAGAGAGTCAAGAAGAAAGGTATATTATTTTTAATGGCTATTAAAATCTATTTATTTAGTTTATGTAGTGGTCTCAAAATCTTGTAGATTGTCAACTAATAATTTCTCAAATATTACCCCAGACTTGGATAATGTAATCACCACTATTTTCTAATATTTGATCTTAGTAATAACTTGCTATATTTATCAAGCAAGTAAATATTGAAATACTTGCTTGATAGATATTATTTTAAATCCAGTTCATGCATACAACTGTTCACGATTTTTTCTTATCTTTGTATAATCAGGTTATGTCAGACTGGTTACGAATCTGGGACCGTTAAACTTTGAGCTCTACTGCGACGTGACTCCTAAAGCTTGCGACAATTTTATAAAACACTGCTACAGTGGTTACTACAATGGTACTAAGTTTCATCGCTCTATAAGAAATTTTATGGTAAGTTATAGTGAATTAGTTAGGTGGTTACTTGGGCATGTGGTATTCAAAACATTCTGTTGACAAACCAAATGCCAAAACCACTGCAATAAGACATTTAGAACAGTAAGAATTTTTACTTATATACACAGATCCAAGGTGGAGATCCAACTGGAACCGGTCTCGGTGGAGAATCTATTTGGAAGAAATCATTTGAAGATGAGATCAGACCTAATTTGCATCACACTGGCCGTGGAGTTTTGTCTATGGCCAACTCAGGGCCGAATACAAATGGATCCCAATTGTAAGTACTACAATCATTTAGTCAAAGCAATATGTCAGAGATGTGTTACAGCCACTTCTGCCTAAAGTAAAGAAAGTAATAATGAAGCGAGACAACAATAGAGAACAAATGCTCCAAGTTTATTTAAATCACTTTGGTATTATGGGCCTTGGTTCATATTAATGTAATCCCATGATGACATGAGGTCCAGGAACAATTCCTTCGTCACTCAAAGAAAATGGTCACATGAGGGTTCAGATATTTCGTCCAAAGCATTGCTTTGCTAAAACAAACTTAGGTCTATCATTCTATATTCAACTAAAGTCAATGTTTTCTCTTATTCTTTCAGCTTTATAACATTTAGATCATGCAAACAGTTAGATGGTAAGCACACAATCTTTGGCAAACTTGTTGGTGGTTTAGACACACTGAATGCAATGGAGCAAATTGAAGTTGATAATAAAGACAGGCCAATACAGGACATTGTGATAGAAGTTGGCCAAGTGTTTGTTGACCCATTTTTAGAGGCTGAAGAACAGGTATATGTTTATTTAAATATATTGGGTTATTATTGATAATACTATTATAGTTATTTATATCAAAATTAGTGTAGGATAATCTGTGTTTACAAAGCAATGCAAATAAAATTAATTCTTTAAAAAGTACATAATATTAATATTGTATTGTTAACCAGTTGGTAGCTGAAAGAGCAGAGGAATTAAAGAGACATTCGGAAGAAGAGGGTCCAGGTGTTAAGCCTAAGAAAGCTGTCAAACAACCACTGAAAGTATTCAGGGATGGTGTTGGTAAATATTTGAATTTAGAAGAGTTATCAACGAACAAAGTTAATAAATCACAAGAATTACCAGCTAAAAAAGCTAAAACGGATAGTAATTATAAGTTTGGAAGTTTTGAATCATGGTGAAGTGTAATATAAATATAATGTATTCAGGAGTTCATGTCGTTTTATTTACATAGACCACTGACTCACAAAGTCGCGAAGGTGGACCACTTGGTCCACAAAAGACCTGGTAGGGTGTAGAAAAGACTGAAATAAAGTTTTGAATTAACAAATATAGAAGATAATTAGCAGGGTGAGCAAAACTAGTAAAATTTTTATTGTTTAAAAATTATTATATAAATCTGATCGGTAACTCACTAGCAATATAAATTTAACAATTTCATGCCACCATGATTTTTTTTAATGCAAGTTAAATGGGCAGGCTAATTGATGGCTCAAAATGTGTTAGTTTTGTAATTAATCAACAATGCCAATGGTGGCAATGAACATGTAAGGGAATTCTATTATGTAGTAGTATTCTCATAATGCTAGTGAATAATGAAATAACACATTACAGGATTATATAATAAAATAACTACTGTTACCATTAATAATACCATAGAACAGTAATTTATTGAGATATCATAACATTAAGTAAATTTTATAATATCGTACATAAATTAATATAAATATCAACACTATATTTTGTTACCATTTTCCATTCTACAAATATGATGAATCATTTCAAACATTCATGTCTTAATAAGAAATATTTAGTAACTTAAAATTATGATTTGCTATAAATATTTGTATGCTATTTAAGTACTTTAAATAAAAATTCTTCTACAAAGGAGTATAAGAAAAAGTGTTATGGATTAATATAAATTAATGTTTAATTGTAATTTGCGCGTCGCCGTCCTGTCCTCTGCTTATCAAATCTCATCTCCATTTCTTCTAACACCTTTGGTGTGTAGCGTACAACTAGCTTGACTGAACCAACTGCTTGCTTCAGTAGTTCCACAGCCTTCTCGTGATTTTCTCCTTCCACAGATACACCATTAACAGATAGCAATTGATCACCTCTCTTTAATCCTCCATGACGGTCAGCAACACCACCTGGTATGATCCGAGATATGTATATGGGTGAATTCTGTTCTTTACCACCCATAACATTAAAGCCTAATCCTTCTTCTGTTTTTGGAAGCTCCACAACTCGAGGATGAGCATGACCTTCTGCTGCAGCGAATGCTGCCACAGTCGCCTTCGCTGTGGCCGATGCTCGTATGTCCGCAGATCCTTGAATATCCACAGTTTCGTAGACATGTTCGTACACTTCCCTAACAGCATTTAAAAAGTCACTCTGGAGCACTTTTTGTAAAGCAGCCAACTTGGTAGCAGGCACTTCACCACTTTGCTGTAATTTTTCTAATAATTCTACGGCTCTTTTAATATCTCTTGCTAAAGTTAACTGCTCACCCGTGCTGCTCATATTGTGTTTTTAGGAATATCTGGGCGTGAATAATTACAGAAATAAGTACTCAATGATCGATATCAACATTTCATTTTCATCGATTGTCATTCCGCTCTGTTTCACGTCAGTATGTTCAAAAACTAGAAAATTATACTTAATTATTTCAATTTTTTTTCTTTTTATCTTTTCATTTATGAAAAAACCTTTGTAAAAGACTCAAATTAATATACAATCTCTTTACAAATAAAAACAATGACAAAGACATGATTTTATACTTAGATTGATAATCTTAAACAATCTTTTCTCAACTATGATTAGGTTTCGGAACGAGTCTACTTTATTGATATTAAAAAAATGACATAAAAATGACAGTTGCTCAATTGTGCCAATTTACTAAATATCCAGTTTGATATTGTAAATCGAGATTTCGTCGTTATTTTAGTGAAATCTCAAGTTTTGTCAAAGAAAAAGTGTTGATGAACTGAGAGTGGAAGTGCCACAGTGTAAGTTAACAGACATTTGGCGTTTACTGCTAAACTTTTATCGAAATCACTATGGATGACTTGGGTAAGTTTGGTGTTATCGTCCCAACCTGTTTGGCTTGCTCCGTATCTGTGACGTGTTTTATGTGAAATCTTTAATGCATTTACCTCGATACCGAATGTTAAATAATGACCGTAGACGTCGTACTTAGTTGTTTACATAAAAACTTATTTTTAGGTGATGACTTCATGATTGGATGACTACTAAAGCTTTATTTTAATAATTTTAAGAACTATTTCGTCTACCTTTGAATATTTTTATATGTTGTATTGTTGTCTTGCACCTGGACTTCAGACATAAACATCTAATTTCGATAAAAAAAACAAAGAAATAATAGTTTACTGACTAAAGTTATCAATTGGTAAGTCATGTTTTGCAGGGAAGAGAAGGATGTAGGGAAATAGTCAGTCCGCTTTATGAAACTACTATCAAAAAAGTTAACAAATCATCAAAATAATAAAGAATTAAGTGCTGTGATGGATGTCTATAAAATGACGCACTTGACTCACAATTTTCATAAACATACGCCGCTTCATTGTTATTTTATTATTTTTCCTTATAGTAATACTAAGAATTGCGTTGCTAACTCATTATAATGAAACTTCTGGGCTTTTGATAATAAAGACATACAAATACTGTCTTATGTAAGTAATCCAAAGGGTTAAGCAGAGATGGTTACATTATGATTTTTGCTATTCATTTCTATCACAATTAGCTTTACAGTACTACATTGTTAATTTAATTTACGTAATATTTTGAATACAGTAAATAATGCATCACTAATTTTATGTGAATGTTAATTAATTAGCCATTTAGTAGTTTTCGAAACATGCTAAAAGATTAATTAGTTAATAATAACGATCCACTCGCTTTCCTTTTGGCTAAGGGGCGGGATGACATTCAAATGATTAATCACTTTGTTAGCGGTAACCCTACCTTGCAATTTGACTGAAAGCCAGTGTTATCACACAAGGACATCACCGAAGAACTTAAAAGAATGTCAGCATAATTTTATACACCATTATTTGTTATTTAATAGAATAAATGTAGTTAATTGTTTTTTACTCGACAATGATAAAGTTATTAATGAATTTTTTATAAATCCAGTAAAAGCATGGAGTAATACTTATTAATTTTTATTTTACTTCTACTACTATGATTACTTCATAATTAAAGCTATTCAATTATCAAACCGAACCTTATTTGTTTTCTAAGAAACTAAATAATATATCTTACATTTTTTCCAAAACACAATAACTTTTGGGATAAAAATCTTTTTTATTATAGTCGTTAAGCGTCATGGGCACGTGCGTATATATATTTGTTGGCGCGTTTTAATTCACTATGCATTCTCCATCAAGATTTGTAAGTGAAGCGCATTTATATTACGAAAAGATTTCACTTTATTACGTACAAGTTCATTGCTCTGATGGTAAACAATACATTTTATCTCTACCCTACCATAATATTTTTTTTTTTTATAAAAACCATTGCTTTTAGGATGTATTTGCGTGTTTTATATTTTTTCTATTGGTAAAAACAATGCCAATCGACTGATTGTGAAAAAATAGTACATGTTCATTTATCATCTATTCTTTTTAAATCTAAGCATGTAATATGTGAAGGCTTAACGTAGGTATGCGTCAGTTATGAACACGGAGCATTTCGTTCCAGCGCAACCTGTTGAACAGAGTTATTTTAATTATTCCGGCAACTGTCACTAATTGGGTTTTATCGAAAATAATGTTAGAATGCATAAGAAATATTATTTTTAATTCACACCTTTCGCAGTAACTAAGTTCATATATGAAATTGTCTATTTTGTTTAATGTAGGCACGTACGATAGATTCGGAATGCGTTTTAGTGGAGAAGAGGAATGACGTAATAAACTTTAGCGACGTTTCTTTCATGTTAGTAGGTCGCTATGCCCGGCGAAGCAAAATCTTGTTCAAAAGTGTATTAACGAATCTACAAAGGCCGAGATGCTTTTTCTGACATTTCGTAAATATCTTGACATAATTTTCTTTCAATGAAGACGACTTTTTTGTTAAAGTTATTAACACAAGCCGGAAAATAGATAAGCAATGAACATATATCTATACTAATATTATAAAGCGGAAGAGTTTGTTGGTTTGTTTGTTTAAACGCGCTAATCTCAGGAACTACTTGTCCGATTTAAATAATACTTTTTGTGTTGGATAGTCCATTTATAGAGGAAGGCTTTAGGCTATTTAACATAACGCTGCTACCAATAGTTTTTTTTTATTCCGCGTGGACGGAGTCGCGGGCGACAGCTAGTAGTGGAATAAATTTGATGCCATTTGAACTGTGTAGTGACATGAGTGTGAGACTGAGAACATTGAATATTAACCAGATCACATTCCTACGCTCTGTAGTATGTCTATTGAGGTATTATAATATGTTCTATAATTATATAGTATGTCGAACTTATCTGGCCTGGTGGACAAACGTGACAACAAGGCCACTGTCAACGAAGAAGTAACAAACGAAGCGGAAAATCGGTTAGGTCTCCAATTTTACTACCCTCACGATTTCCAAAGTCCCTCTGTTCATATATGTTCGTAGAGGGTTCCGTTATAACGCCATTTAATTTCCCCACCTGGCTTAATTGAGTGGATTTCGTGCATCACGCTACATTCGAGGCCGACGTGACCCGTGAATCCCACCTTCTATGGTCATCATTTCATAACTTGTTGAATATATCACGACTAATCTGAGTTACGAATTCAAATACGAAAGAGCTAGATGGTTCTATAATTCATAATTATTCTTTGATTATTATTAAACTTACTGTTTTAGTAGATGGGTTGAAGGTAACCTAAACTGATTATCTGAGTTTTATGAAGTTCCTAAAGTCTTGTAGCAATACAATGTTTGTTAGTCATCAATAAGATTAATATGATTCACCAATTAATAAATGCGAACCGCTTAAGATGTGGTTTAATATACGTCATTCGATTTTATATCTGTAATCAGAGTCATTCGTAAAATTAAGTTTACGTAATATAGTCTGTATTTGAATATAATTTGAAGATTCTGTAAATTATTCTGGAACCGCTGATAGATAGCAGGAGCTTGGCAAAAATCAAACGACAGTTAATGACGTATTTGACTTACAAATAAATTAAGACATTATTGAGTTATATTGATCGTACCTTTGGTAAAATTTCATTAAGTCCAAAGTAAATAAGGGCTCGGCGATTCGACCTTATGACAACAATCAGACTAGCCTCGGGGCATTAGCGTCACGTCACGGGGCATTTTACCACGAGCTGCGTACAATCCACGCAGTTGTTCGTCGCCACCTCACGCGGTAACCATCGTGCACTTGCGGTTGGCGGTTATATTATAAAAAGCAATATACATTGATGCTTTTGTTCTTTAAAATAATTAATATGGTGTTCTAACGGTTTATGGAATTAAAACAGTGATTAAAGTCGTTTTTGGATCTAAACGTGAATAAATGTTTTATTAGTGTTGTACGATTTATAGCTGTTTTTTTATTATTGTGTTACTCTACGCGTGAACTGTAGTTGTTTATAGGAATGTTAATTAACATCCAAATGGATAAATTTGGTTGAAGTAAATTTTGAAGTTGTTTTTTTTATAAACTATATTTTTTTAGACATAGCCTGATAACTTTTTTTACATCTGTTTGATGGTTAATTATTATGGTATTTGATTTACGTTTATTTAAATGCTTAGTTGTTAGCTTCGGCCATGTTTTTCTTGGCACCGTTACAAAGATTGCGCTAGACCAGATAGGTCTAGACTTGTCGAGTCTAGGGAATACAGATCATTGATATATTTACACAATAAACATTTACGTATGAGGAATCTTAAGAAGGAAGATATTTATTATTTATGTTCTTATTGTACTGTCTACATTCCTAGAATCTAGTAATGAGTAACTTTACTATTGTTGTTTTTATTATTGTAGTAGTAAATTTGTATGGTTTGATGTCTGATCAAAATAAAGGTTAATAAAACGATAAGGTCCATATTCGCTTTGTCATTATTCCATTAAATGTGAAATTAATTTCTATATATTTTTTATTTTTATTCAAATAATTTGCGTAAACTCTGTTCAAACATTCTTGATCGTGGGATCTTTGGGTCGTTATATTAGAAATGTCGTGTAGACCTGTAACTGTTGCAAGTGTAATTTCGATACTATTTCAACTGAATTAAGCACATTTTTCAATAACCTTTCTATTCTTTTGCTCCTTTTTGTCGTGAGCACTATATTCGCTATTTTGGCAAGAGCTGTCCTCGGTAAGGACAGTCAGTGCTTCAGTACCTTGGAATCTTCGGCCATATTTGCAGGTTCCCAATAGGTCGAATTGCTGCGCTAGATAGATGAACGGTTTGTAACACATAGGGCTGGTTGGTTAATGCGTTAACAAAATATATGAAATAGGTAAATTATTCTGTAAAAGTCAAAATTTAATTACGTTCATATTTTTAAATCGGTATCATAATCAAAACTGACACGAATAGGAGTACGTATTTAAATGCGTATTGAAGTAACGTTTAT